GCCGATACCGCACCGTGACGTCACTAACCAGTAGGTGGCAGTAGTGTTCTTTGACAGCTAAAACACTTATCATTTATTGAACAGTATGTAATAGTTTCATATTTAAGGTACTTTCAGAAGTTTAATTCTGATTATGACCGGACTTCTTTAAGTACGCCTTACAAAAGCATGGGTGGTGTTGCTCATTTTAAATGGGTTTAATGTTTTGCTAAAGGTCCCAGTCTGCCAAAGAACGATGTAATTGTTGCTGTGAACTGGACCGGGGTTTACTTTGTGGACGAACAGGAGCAGGTCCTCTTGGAGCTGTCCTTCCCAGAGATCACAGCTGTGTCCAGCAGTAGGTAAGACAAATTCACTGAAAGTAAATGTGGTCAGTGATAAAAAAAATATGTTGTTATTTAGAAACCATCTTTATCAAAATCACTTTGTTAAAGTTAGAATATAAACCCCCTCTCAGAGGCGGCAAACTGCAGGGTCAGAGTTTCACGTTGGCCACCATTAAAGGAGACGAGTACACTTTCACCTCCAACAACGCAGAGGACATCCGGGACCTGGTGGTCACCTTCCTGGAAGGTTTGAGGAAGAGGTCCAAGTATGTGGTGGGACTGCTGGACTGTCCCAACCCTGGTAAGCTTCGGTGATGTTCAGAGAGGAAGGTTCTGGCATCCTGAGCTGAGCTGTGACTTTCATCCTGCAGCTGGAGTGGACTCCACCTTCCTGAGTTTCTGCAAGGGGGATCTAATCATCCTGGACGAACATGACGGAGAGCATGTGATGAACTCCGGCTGGGCTCACGGCATCAACGACAGGACCAAACAGAGGGGAGACTTCCCAGCTGATGCCGTCTACGTTCTGCCCACCATCACCAGACCCCAGTATGACATCGTGGTAAGAGCAGTTTCAGAAGATGGACTGTTTTCAACTCTCACTCTCAACTAAAGCCGGGCATACGCTGTGTGATTTTTTAGATCGTTGTACGCAGCTACAGCTCACACTGTGTAGAGTAAGTTCACAGCCCACGATGTTTGTTCTCACAATGTGCGGCCCTACGATCTGATGTGATCTACCGTCTCACACTGTACGTCTAACAACTACGTGAGATGGTGCTACTCGGACTCGTCTATCTGGAAACCAAACCAGTAGAAGAGGAATATGAAGCCCACTAGAGTGGAACGCGCTGCCTTGGCAATTTGTGCAATTTTGTGCTGAATTGGCAATTTGTGCAACTTTGTGCTCAATTGGCAATTTGAGCAATTTTGTACCCTAAAAATAAAAGGCGACGACGTATTTGGACAAAGACATGGCTGAGCAAACGTGGCTACTATAGACTGTTGCACCCCTGCCATGCTTCTGTGTTTTCATCTGAGAGAGGAGGAAGCCCACTGAGCGATTTGTCCACGGCGGCCTTAAGACGGTCAACTGAATTTCGAACATGTTTGATTTTCTCCCGACCTTACGATTCCTGATTGGGAGGTGGTCGTGACTGTCATGGTGTGTTTTTAAAGGTGTGACCCAAAGATGCAGCGAACCACTCAGAGAACCAGGTTTAACAGGTTTATTGGGATGAGGGTACAGGGGAAGAGTGGTCTGGAACTCAGGTAGCTGGTGAACAGGAACTTGGATGTCTGAGGAGATATCACAACGGTTAGTTCAGGAACAGTGGGAATCTTG